CCGCATCTAAAGAGTGATTCTTTAGTGATATTCCGTGTCTGGCGTGGCACAGGTTGTTAGAACCATTAGTTAGGATTCGTAAGGACACAGATTATGTTGTGAGACGTAATACATCTGCATCAGAAGACTGACTGACGTATCCCCAATAAACTATTCACATTGAATGTCTCGTGTAAGTGTAGTCAGAATAGCAATTTACCACGTTAACAATGATGTTGTTTTAGATCTAAATGGAAGGCGCTCATTGCAAACAGGACGCCTCTTAGGCATGGGGCGCTTTTCTTTTTCTTGACGTTAACACTCAAGTGTGTAGAATTAAACGAAAGAGGGATTTTTTCGTTTAAAGCTGGGTTTTCACCACACAATGACGCTTGTTTTGCAAACCTTCCAACGTTACCTCAATAATTAAAGTGTCGAGTTTTAAACGGTGTATAAAAAATAATTTAATGTTAGTGCCAGAAATTCACACATTTGAAAGAAAGTAATGCTTCCTCTCTGTGAACACAAAATACTGGTAAGAGATCAAAAGGAATTGCATTAGAAATTAGAAGAAAATAAATCAATAAAAACCTAGATTAATTGAATGGCGGCTTTTGTGTGTGTATCGATAAAACATGTTATGACGCCTATACAGAATATAGCATGCCACAGTAAAATACGAGACTGTTTCTCTGGAATTCACGTTTTCCTCCAAGTGGTTATATGGAAAACTACAAGAAACGTTATTTTCGGCAAAAAGGCTTTAAGGATTCAGATAATTAAGTTAATTTTCTATACCATACACGTTGCAGTGAGCTCTATCAGATATAAACAAAACAACAACTAGAAATAAATCCAGGAAGGGCGAGATTATCATATATATCTTAGAATAACGTTCAAGTATAAGCGTCGTTTTTATCTCATATGATCATCGTAATGTCGGATTAAAGCTGCATGTCTCACTACTAAATTCCTTCGGACAAATCCAACAGGTGAGGCCCTCTTCCAACTTTGCTTGAATTTTCTTCCGTCAAAGAAAACAACGTATCAGACTCTTCCCCACCATCAGTTACTGGCTCCTGGAGATGTCTTCTTAGTTGAAAGTGCTGATCAGGCTCCTTGCGTTTTAAAGAACTTTCTATTGCGTGTCTTCGTTCATGTCGCCTGCAAACTGATGAGCGACTAAAGCACTCTTTGCAATGCTTGCATGAATACGGCTTCTCTCCCGTGTGAGTTTGTTCATGTAGCTTGCAACGTAATGAGTCAGAAAAGTTCTTATCACAATACTGGCATGTATACGGCTTCACTCCTGTGTGAGTTCCTTCATGTTGCTTGCAATGTCCTGATTGGTTAAAGCACTTTTTGCAATGCTTGCATGAATACGGCTTCTCTCCCGTGTGAGTTCGTTCATGTTGCTTGCAATGTTCTAATTGGCTAAAGCTCTTTTTACAATACTGGCATGAATGCAGCTTCTCTCCTGTGTGAGTTCGTTCATGTTGCTTGCAATTTGACGAGTTAGTAAAGCACTTATCACAATGCTTGCATAAGTAAGGCTTCTCTCCTGTGTGAGTTCGTTCATGTCACTTGCAATGTCCTAATCGACTAAAGCCCTTTTCACAATACTTGCATGAATACGGCTTCAATCCTGTGTGAGTTCGTTCATGTTGCTTGCAAGTTCCTGATTGGCTAAAGCCCTTTTTACAA